TTTGAAAAGTTTTTTCTCACCAAGTGTGACATCAAAAGAGTCATTGTAATAACAATACACATGAAGCACTCTCTGATTTAAAGTTAAATTCTCAAGAGCGATTCAACTTAGAAAGATTAAAGAAAATGAAAAGAAAAGCAACTTACTTTTCATTGATTGGAACAATAATGAAATCTTTTTCAAAGATGTCCACATGTCGTGTCCAGGTTTTCACCTGTGCATGTCTCTTGATCATTGGACTAAAAAGAGGTACAAAAAATATCAGACTTAAGATAAAAAAAGCTAACATGTACAGAACAGGAATAAAAAAAAAAAAAATGAAGGGGAAGAACTTCAAACCTGCTACCCTGAATCTATAGTGTTAGAGATTTAGTAAAAACAAATATGGCAAACTTTTCATTCATTCTAATGCTTATTTTATATATAAAGTAACAAAACAAATTGTGAGGAAACAAACAATAATCCTGGTTGTATTTTAGTGCCACCTGTAATTGGATTCAATTCATATTGACATGGTTTGGGCTTTTATTGCTGCCCACTGACATTACCATTTCTCCATTACTTGGCTTTTGACACTTTCTGCATTAAAAAGCAAAATATTTCTGACCAAAGATTTTGCCGATTAAACAGTGAATTTTGTAATTTTGGTCTACAATCTATTTCAACATGCACTCACTATATTGTGTATTGAAAATCAAACAGAAAGAGATTATCACTGATTGGGAATTAATGAAAGTATTACTGATAGAATAATGCTATTTATTATAGACATACAATTTTCAACACTTTTCAAAATTTGCTATTTACTTGGGGAAAGTTTTGCATCAAGTTACCAAATGAAACTTGAGTATTATTGTTTAGCACACTGTAACAGCTGTTTGCCATTGCCTACATATCCATGCTATCATCTGGTTTAAAAGTTGGGCATTTGCTATACTAAAGTAAAGTTCATAAAGCTTCAACTGACCAGTTCCAAAAGTAGAATTGATTTTAACAACATCAAATGGCATAAATAGCAAAAAGAAAATTTTAAAGCAAAGAATGTTGGCCCCCACCTCTCTGCTATGAATTATTTCAATGGTTAACAATTTTAATGTATTTGGGGGGGGGACTTTACATCTTTATGTGCATTTATCTTTGAAATGATCAATAGAAAAAAAACCTTCCTTGATCAAAAGGGAGCCATGAAAGATTCTCAACTACACATATGAAAGAAAAAAAAAAAAGAAAAAAAAAAGTAGTTCCTAGAGAAACACTTACGAGCTTTCAAGACCCTGTTCATTGTTGTAGGAATGCCTGTTCAATCGTTGTGTAAGACGCTTGTAAAAGAATGAACTGAAGACATGAGTCCGCTGTCGGTCATTTTCAGATAATTTTTCTAAAACTAAATACCTGTACAATAAAAAAAAAGAAAAAAAAGAAAAAACATTCAAATAGATCATAATATTATCCATGTATATAAAAAAGACAGCTTGTATATATATATATATATATATATATATATATATATATATATATATAAAAATATATATTAACATATATTTAAGCAGCAGTTTTTCTCTTAAGTTATAATATTAGAAAAGAATTTTGTTTCCTTGCAAAAATGTCTGTTTCATTCTAGTGAGTTAAGACTGGTCTAGAATATCCATTTCAGAGGTTTTTCACTATTCATGGGTCATTATTAAGAACATAAGGCTTCAAAGAGATTTGAAATGATTGTTTTTTTTGTTGTTTTTCATCGAGGCATTTAGTTTTGGAAATTTTAATTTTAAAATCATATCCTTAAACTATGATAGTGATGTCATAGCAAGGTTAAGTCTTAAAATGATGGAATTTAAAATTCTAATGTTTAGACCATTGTTGCATATGCAAAACTAATTGTTACAGTTAACTAAGAGAACAATACCCTGTTCCTATTTTGGGCACAGATGCTACACACTGATCCACAGCAATGGGCTGAAGAGGGACACTTTGATCCAAGGCAAACTGCACAGATACCCTTAATCCTAAGCTAATCCAGACATAACTAATCCTATAATTTTTTTTTTTTTTTTTAAATACTATGTTTTTAACAATTGCAATAATGATGATTATTAATGTCTTTACTGGTTTAGCTCACCATGATTAAATTAAAGAGCTAAGTTAAGAAGTGATTTCCCATTGGTACAAACAAACACACACTTACAACTTTATAAATATTGAGAGAGAGAGAGAGAGAGAGAGAAAAAAAAAAAAAAAAAAAAAATTCTATATGGTTCTCATCTATTGTGCAGGTCTCCATAACTCAAATGTTTAGAGCTTTGACCTTGTAAACCAGAAGTCATTGAAACATTTACAGTGACATTGATAACAATGTATTCTTACTGTCATGCTTCACTTCTTGAATAACCTAATCAAGAAACCCTTCAAAAAAAAAAAAAAAAAAAAAAAAAAAAAAAAAAAAAAAAGAGAAAGAGAGAGAAGATAAAATTCTGATATTTGATACATCTTTGAAAACTTTTCAGCAATGGTAAGTGGAAAATTTGAGTCAAACTTACTTTAGGAAAAAATCAATAATAACATCATTAAGGAATTCTCCTTCATTCAAGCAGTAGAAATCTTCATTTGTTATTGTGATGCCACCTTTGGCAGGAGGAGGCGGATATGTAATCAAGCTGAAATAAGCACACAAAAAACGGATTAAAACATTTTATTATTAAATGTCAAGAAAAAAAAAAGGTGGATCATGATTTCATGGTTACGATTTTATGAAAAGTAAGTTTCTGATTTTTAGCAATTGAAATCATATAAAAGAAATTGGATTAAAATCCTTTTTCTTTTTATTGTCATCTGACATTACAGACAGACTTCAACCATATTTTGCATGGAAAACTTATTTTTTAAGAGTTTTACAAATTGGTGAGCTTTAAAAAGGTACAGGAATTTTGGTTTTCATGTTTATATGATTCAATGCTATGGAAGTCAATTTGCCTTTGACAGCAATTACGAAACAAGGATTAAAAAAAACACAAAATTTGTAAAATTGATGGTCAAAAATGAGAGTAGATGTTAGAACAATGCAGATGTTGGCTAATTGAGAAGATTAGAATTTTGGAGAAACAACAAGTTTAATTTTGACACATACTTCTCTACTGGGCCAGAGAATCCCATATGTGGTGGTGATGAGGTGTCTTGGTACAGTGCCATGCCTCCATCAAGAGGACTAGACGGATACGGACTCTCAGGAGATGAAGGGAAAGACAGTAGTTGATGTATTTGGGGGCAGATCTCTGTCAGCTTTTTGTTAGCCTCTTCTGGCAAGATCTCACGATAGATTTCTTGGTCCTGGCCTCGAGTCTGAGACTGGATTTTCTGAAAGGACTGAAAGATTTCAGCTGTTGCCTTGCGCACTGAAACCATTTTCTTGCTGGGTTCCAAAAGCATCACAATATACCGTTGAGTGGCATCTGAAAATTAAAAGGAATTATTTACTAAAATGTAGAATGAAGAAAAAAAATAAAACATTTTAACAAAACTTTTCAGAATATTTTACCTATTATATATATATATATATATATATATATATAACAAAAATTTTGCAAACTTTACGGGTGGGTTCCTCACACCAAAAAAAGGACAAATTCCTTATGAAAGATGGAAAGACTGGTTCTATGGCCTGCACATTCCCTCAACATCAATCTTTTGGATTTTTATCTGTAGGGCCACCTAAAACAATTGGTTTATGGAGCAGACATTAATAATGCAGAGGCGCTTCATCAATGTGTTATGGGGGCCTGCAAAACCATTTGACATTGTGTGGGAGTATTTGAAAGGGTCTGTCAGTCAATGATCCAACAGGTGAATTCGTGTGTAAAAGCAAGCAGAGGACATTTTGAACATTTATTATGAGTTGTTGCGTTGGAGTACAATGATGGCCTTTCGGACATGTTTATTAGAGCCGGTCAATTTTGGAACCGTGGTAATGTGATGGTTATGATAGTTGGGGTTTGACATGATAAATAATGACAAAATATTTTTTCCAAATTGTTACCGTTAGGCAAGCAAACAACCTTATAGGTTGAAAATTAGAGCTGTGGCATCTTCTGGTGATCAGTCAAAGATTTACCACTGTCTAAAAATTCTGTACCATTGAGGGGAAAAAAATTTGTAACTGTCATTTAAAAAAAAATAAAAAAAAATTGCCAATTGAAATATTTTTATTGCTTTCAATAAATCAAATAAAACTAAATAAGAATTATAAATAATGAAAAAATATTCATTTGTAAAGGTAAAATGTACATTAAATATAGTGTGTTTATGTAATTGACAGAGATAAAAGATGGCTTCTTTTTTCTCTATCATGGAATTCAGGATTTGTTATTTTTCAGTAGAAAAAAAAAAAAAAAAAAAAAAAAGAATTTTAATTATCAATAAAACACCATAAAACCGAGAAATTTCTTTATTTTAATGATAAAATAAAACAAATATAGTTTGTTTATGAATATTGTCCATGGAACTTTTTTGATTGTTATTATTTAAGTTTACACTATTTTAAAAGCATGTTTTTGTTATTGTTTATTATTATTCTATGAAATATTGACCACTGTTTGTTTTTAATTATAAAAATAATTAGTATTTTTTTTTTATTTTTATGAACAGACTAAAGTATTTGCAAAAATAAAGAAAAAAGCTGTTTAATCTATATAATTTCATATATTTAAGTGACTGGCATTAATTCAAACACGTTTGTTTTTCTGCTGAAGAAATTATATTTCCATTTTTAGATAAATAATACTGTTTCCTCCTTTCTGTTTTTTTTTCTTGCTTCAAATTAAATTTTATCTGATAACTTTGCTGTAAAGTGCAATACAGAAAATTGCCAAACAAAGCACATAGTCTGCACTTGTCCTAACAAGAAGGTAATGTTAATTTTATGGTTGTTTTTTGTTTGCTTTGTTTAATTTGAACTAGTTCATGTCCCGATTTTCAAAATTTAATTTGAAAAATATAAATTTACTTCT